ATGATGAATTAAGATCTATTTTTTGAAATGAAATGTTCTATACAATGAATGATTATCCAATTTCTAACAATGTATTTGTGGCATCCTTAGCATCATGTGATATTTGTTAGCTGTTACCCGGTATCGAAGGTTCCATTATGGAACTTAATATGCCTGCAATTTGTTACCCGTACTCGGGAGGTTCCATTATGCAACTTAATATGCCTGCAATTTGTTACCTGTATTGGAGGTTCCATCATGGAGCTTAGCATATCTGTCCTTTGTTACTTGAATCCGGAGGTTCATTTATGGAACTGGTTACTTATAACCACCATATGTTCTGCATATGTTCTGTATCTGCTCTGTTAGCGTTAATGGATGTAGCACGTATAATTAAGCATGAACTCTGACCTTTGTGTATGTTTTGAACAAGGATATGATTATGAATCTGTTTATAAATCTGAATTATGATTTCTGAATTTGGTACGGACTTCATTCATTAAATCCTTTACATCGTTATTATTCAGTGGGCTTCCGCTCACTATTTATATTATGTATGTAGGTGATCAGGCACGTGACCAGGCTCAGAGTTGAGGACCTGGCGTCTCAATTTTTGTCAGCTAACCTTTGTGTCTCTCAAGGAGGTTCCGGATTAAGTCAAGTTTAGTGGCTATTTTTGTGAATGTACTAGATTTTGTTTCTTTTGAATTACGGGCAAGATTTTTGATAATATGTTCATGGTGTGATGTGTAAATAATATATCTTTTGATGCCACTCGCAAGTTATAAAAGTTTTAAATATCTGTCCCATGTTTGCCTTCACAGCTCAATGGACTACATATATTTTGTATATTTGCTTCCGCAGCCCCTAACTATATGTTATTCTGTTCAGAGGCCTTTGGTAATCCAAGGATTACTGGCCGGTTACGATGCTACACCTATAGGGGCGGGTTTCGGTCGTGACAGAGTGGTATCAGAGCACATGTTCTATCGCACACACAAGTCCATATGAGCTTAAGATGTCCTGGTAACAAGTAGGGGCATTCCATCTGCATGTGTGGGTGTGTGGTAATCTTTATAAATGTGAAAACTGAATTTGAATCTGGACAAATAAATTGAAAGAAATAAATGAGATTATTGCTATGTTTATTATTACTTGGTGTCTTTATAGCAACATGGAGAATGCAAGGGACAATGATACCAGTGAATCCTCAGAGGCTCGTATGAGCCAAATGGAACAGATGCTTACAGTATTGACCGAAGCTATGACACAACAGCAGAGACAACAACCTTTGCCCCCTCCGCCGCCGTCGCCAGTACAAGTTGAATCTGATAATAATGACATTATTAACTTGACACAGAAATTCATGAAGATGAAACCGCCAACATTCTTGGGTGGAATTGAACCGTTGAAAGCGGAGACATGGTTGCTAGAGATGGAAAAATTGTTTGAAGTATTTCCCTGTACTGAGACTCAGAAAGTTTTATTGGCCACTTATACTCTCAAAGATGAAGCTCGAAGATGGTGGTTACTAATCCGGAATACCAATGGAAATATGATGTGGGCTTAATTCAATGAGATCTTTTATGAAAAGTATTTCCCTCAATGTTTTCTGGACAGAAAAGTGTCTGAATTCCAAGAACTCAAGCAAGGCAGAATGTCCGTAGCTGAGTACGAGGCTAAGTTCACTGAATTAGCCAGATTTGCTCCTCACATGGGGGACACGGACTACAAGAAAGGCCGCAAATTTGAAGGAGGATTGAACTTAGACATATTTGATCGAGTAGGCGTATTGAAGTTGCCAACATACGTACAAGTCCTTGACAAATCCATAATGGCAGAAGCTACCCTAGCCGCTATGAGACAAAGTAAGACCTCAACAACAACAACAGAATTGAGAGGAAAAAGGTATGGGTATGGTTTCAAAAAGGGCTGTTCTTATGTTAGTAAAAAATAGAACACGGGGTCTACAAGCAGCTCGAGTTAAAGCAGTGGGTCTATTCCAATTTGTCCTGGTTGTGGAAGGAGGCATAGGGGTGTATGTTACCGAGCATCCGGTGCTTGTTTCTGATACGGCAAGACGGGTCATGTAGTGAAAGATTGCCCGCTTGGGTTTGATAATGCCAACCGCCCTACGGCGAGTTCAACCTGATCCACTTCTATAGCAAAATCAAATGTAAGAGCTAATATTGGGAAAGAACCTCTAAGACAAGGTCGAGTGTTTGCCTTAGTACCTAGTGACGTATAGAACACCGAAGCTGTGGTGTCAGGTACACTCCCTATATGTTCCCAAAATGCATGTGTACTGATAGATTCCGGTTTTATGCATTCTTTCGTATCGCATGCTTTTTCTTAGAAATTAACTAGACCACTAGAACCTATGACATATGTGTTATCTGTATCTACACCGTCTAGGGATTCTATGATATGTGCTTATGTTTATCCGGCATGTGATATTATGATTGGTGATATGACATTGTATGTTAACTCGTTGCCCTTGACATTGATCATTTTGATTGTATTCTGGGTATGGACTGGTTGACTAAATATTGTGCCACCATTGATTGTGCAAGTAAATCAGTTGTGTTTAGACCACCTAGCATGCCTGAATTTATTTTTACTGGAAATGGGGTAGTTCCTCCCCCATACTTGATATCGGCCATGAAAGCTGTTAAATTGCCTAGGAAGGGATGTAGGGGCTACTTGTGTTGTATACTAACTGCATCATCTGATAGTGCTAATGTGGAAACTATTCCTATTGCTTGTGAATTTCCCGATGTGTTTCCGAATAACTTGCCTGGAGACTTAGTTGATAGAGAAATTGAATTCACTATTGAAGTAACTCCAGGAACACAACTTATTTCCAAGACCCCCTATAGAATGTCAACCTCAGAATTGAAAGAATTGAAAACTCAACTTGAAGACCTGTTAAACAAGAAATTCATCCATCCGAGCACTTCACCTTGGGGTGCTCCAGTCCTATTTGTCAAAAAGAAAGATGGATCTTTGAGGTTATGTATAGATTATCGGGAGTTGAACAAAGTAGCTATCAAGAACAAATACCCTCTACCCCGAATAGATGACTTGTTTGACCAATTTCAAGGAGGCCAAGTGTTTTCCAAGATTGACCTTAGATCCGGATATCACCAGTTAAAAGTCAAGGCAGAAGACAGAGAGAAAACTGCATTCAGAACAAGATACGGACACTATGAATTTTTGGTAATACCGTTTGGGGTGACTAATGCACCTGCTGTCTTTATGGACCTTATGAATATGGTGTTTAAATCATATCTGGATGAATTTGTTGTTGTATTTATTGATGATATTTTGATTTACTCCAAAAATAGGGAAGATCATGAGAATCACTTGAGAACCGTGTTACAGATTATAAGAGAAAAGAAACTATATGCAAAATTCTTCAAATATGAATTTTGGCTTGACAGTGTAGCATTTTTGGGGCATGTAATCAACAGAGATGGTATTTCGGTTGACCCTCAAAAAATTGAAGCCATTGTGAACTGGCCAAGACTAACTAATGTGTCAGAAGTGAGAAGTTTTCTGGGACTTACAGGTTACTACAGAAGGTTTGTGAAAGATTTCTCGAAACTTGTTATGCCGTTGACACAATTGAGAAAAGTGTGCCATTCGATTGGAATGATTTGCGTGAAATAACTTTTCAAGAGTTGAAAACCAGATTAGTGATTGCACCAATCTTAACTCTACCTAATGGTACTAACGGATTCCAGATTTACAGTGACGCTTCGTATAAAGGGTTAGGTTGTGTACTAATGCAGAATGGGAAGGTAATTACTTATTCCTCTCGGCAACTTCGTTCACATGAAAAGAACTACCCAACTCATAACCTTGAATTGGTAGCTATTGTCTTTGCTTTGAAGATTTGGTGACATTATCTGTATGGTGTGACTTGTGAAGTATATACAGATCATAAAAGTTTGAAATATTTCTTTACCCAAAAGGAATTGAACATGAGACAACGAAGATGGTTAGAATTGATTAAGGATTATGACTTGCAAATTTTGTATCATTCGGGAAAAGCAAACACAGTTGCTGATGCTTTGAGCCGCAAATCCATGGGTAAATTGTTGTGCTTACTCATCGGTCAGAGAGACTTAATATGTGACTTAGAAAGAAATGAAATTGAAGTTGTACTGCGCGAAATAGGCAGAATCTTAGCTGTTATTTTTACTCAACTTGTAATCATTGAAGAAATTAGAGAGAAACAACTTGAAGATGAGTTCTTGAAAAAGATTGTGAAAGAATTTGACTCAAAGCCGAGGCCAGGGTTCGCGTTTGAGAATAATGTGTTGAAATTTCAGAATAGACTTTGTGTACCAGATTCCTCTGATTTAAGAAAGCGCGTTATGACTGAAGCTCACAACTCCAAGTTTGCCATGCATCCGGGGAACACAAAGATGTATCATGATTTGAGACAGAACTTCTGGCGGCCTGGAATGAAGAAAAGCTTTGCTGACTTTGTGGCTAAATGTTTGCACTGCCAACAAGTTAAAGCTGAACATCAACGACCTGCTGGATTACTTTAGCCGCTTCCAATATCGGAATGGAAGTGAGAGCTTATTACTATGGATTTCATTGTCGGACTGCCTCGTTCTTCTCGAGGTATGGATTCTATTTGGGTCATTGTTGATTGTTTAACTAAATCTGCTCACTTTTTACCTGTCAAATCTTTGTATAATGCGGATAAGTTGGCTAATTTGTATGTCAATGAGATTGTGAAATTACATGGAGTTCCAGTGTCCATAGTATTTGACAGAGATCCCAAGTTTACTTCGAGATTCTGGCAGAGTTTGCAACAAGCTTTGGGGATTGAACTGAGACTAAGCAATGCTTATCACCCATAGACAGATGGCCAATCCGAACGGACCATTCAAACATTGGAAGACATGTTACGAATGTGTGTGTTAGACTTTCAAGGCAATTGGGAGACTTACCTTCCTCTGGCCGAATTTGTGTATAACAACAGCTATCATTTAGGTATTGGAATGGCTCCATATGAAGCTCTGTCTCCTATCTGTGGGGCTGAGGTATGTGACAGACCATTGTTAGGACCAGAACTTGTACAAAAAATAATTGAAAATGTGAAATTAATTCAACAGAGGTTGAAAACTGTACAAAGTTGCCAAAAGAGCTATGCAGATGTCCGAAGGCGAGATAGAGAATACGAAGTTGGGGATCGTGTGTTCATAAAGATAACTCTAATGAAAGGTCAGATGCAATTTGGGGTAAAAGGCAAGTTAACACCAAGATATGTTGGGCCATATGAAATTCTCGAGAAGATCAATTCGGTAACATACTGAGTAGCCTTACCTCTGGGGATGGAGAACATGCATAACATTTTTCATGTCTCGATGCTTCGAGATTATTTAAGAGACCTACTCCATGTGATAGAACCAACTCATGTACTTCTGAAGGATGATTACACGTACGAAGAGATGCCAATACAGATCGTTAACCGCCGAATCAAGAGATTGAGAAACAGGAAAATTCCATTGGTAAAGGTCGATTAGCAGAATCATGGAGGAACTTATGCAACTTGGGAGACAGAGGAAGATATGATGAAAACTGTTTCCTTTGGACTCTGTTTTCTTCCAAAATGAAGGTAATTCGAGTTTGGAGGACCAAACTCTTTAAGGAGGGAAGACTGTAACAACCCCGACCCATGATTGACGTTAATCCATGTTTAATTATACCTAATGAGTAATTAAAGTAAAATTTTGCATCATATGTTACCTTATTTGTGTTTATATCTGTTTAATGTAGAAAAATTGATTCATGTTTCTATTTCGGTTTGTGAAATAAAGGCCTTATCAGCATCCGATTTAGAAATTGACTTGATTTATGTGTTATTTGGGATTTATAGAATTTTGTGGTAGGTTTAATTGAAATTCGATTCGGAACAATTAAAATAGAATAAAATAATTCCAAATGATTAGTCTAAGCAAGAATTAATGAAGCTTCACTAATTAGCTTATATAATGCCATTACCAAGCCCAAGACTCCCTTTTTCCTCATTCTTTTTGAGCTCAAACGTGTGGAGGGGGAGAGAGAGAGAGAGAGAGAGAGAGAGAGAGAGAAGAGAGAGAGAGAGATTGAAGCCAACATTAAAGGAGGAAGAGAATTAAGAAGGAAATAGGAGAGATTGAAGAGAATTAAGGGAGTTTAGCTTCAACACTTGCTAACTCAAGGCTTAAGGTAGGAAATTCAACTCCTTAATTATGAATTTGAATTACTTGGCGTAAGAATTCAAGAAAATTAGAAGATTAATGAGAAACAAGCTAAAATTTGAGAATTGTAACTCATACCATGCATGCATGCATAATTCCTTCTATTTTGAGTCTAATTGTTAAGGATTTTCACATGCATGTACTAAGTCTACTGTAGTCTTGTAATTTCATCATGTTTTCCATCAAATTACCTTAGTTGATCATGTTTTGGAAGCTATGAGTTCAAATGAATACATGCATGTCATATTTATAACATGTTCTTACATTTCAAGTTGATTTTTTGCACAATTGACTTACTTTTGGGCCTTGATTTCATGAAATGAACTTCAAACCATGATGTTTTACAAGTTCTTAGATATTTTCCAGAATTTTGGTCCAAGAAAATGAGTTTTAAGGTGTGGAATTTGAGTTTGGAACTTGGGAGTGCAATTTGGAAATTCCAGATTCTGCACTTCTGCTCGAGTGTGAGATTCTGTGCTCGAGCGGCCACCTTTGTTTTTGCATCTCTGCTCGAGCTACCAGAAGTTCGCTCGAGCGTGAAACACAGGCTCTCAGAAGTTTCATGTTTTTGCAGACTGCTCGAGCGTCAAAATTTCCGCTCGAGCGGGGACATGAGTCTCACGCTCGAGCGACCATCAAGCATTCGTCGGGCGTGAAAATCGCATATCCAGTACTTTTTCAAAATTTGTAGAATGCTTGAGCGCAGGAATTTGCGCTCGAGCGTCCCCTCACACATTGCATGTCTGCTCGAGCGGGGAAAGTTGCACTCGAGTGGGACCCCTGTTTTCAGCAAGTTTTGTTAAAGGTGTTCAAGTACATTTTAGCATCCTCATTGCATCCTAGGCATTCCTAAGCCAAGATTAAGACATAATAATGAGGGTAATGTAGAAACACACTAGAACGAAATGTAATGAGTTAGATGTTTTCTAATGTGTGTTTCCAATGTGTATTTGTTATGTGTTGATGTAGGTCTCGTGCCATAAACTGTTTGATTACGTTTACTCTGTCTGTCTGCACCCGAAGCCAACTGTGAGTAATAACTTAGTAAAGCTATGTTTAACTTTATTTATTTTCTGTATGATGAATTAAGATCTATTTTCTAAAATGATATATTTTATACAATGAATGATTATCTAATTTCTGACAATGTATCCGTGGCATCCTTAGCATCATGTGATATTTGTTAGCAGTTACCCAATATCAAAGATTCCGTTATGGAACTTAATATGTCTGCAATCTGTTACCCATACTGGAGGTTCCATCATGGAGCTCAGCATATCTGATATCTGTTATCTGTTATCTATTACCCGGATCCGGAGGTTCCTTTATGGAACTGGTTACTCATAACCACCATATGTTCTGCATCTGTTCTGTATCTGCTCTGTTAGCGCTAATGGATGTCCCACATATAATTAAGCATGAACTCTAACCTCAATGTATGTTTTGAATAAGGATATGATTATGAATCTGTTTATAAATCTGAATTATGATTTTTGAATTTGGTACGGACTTCATTCATTAAATCCTTTACTTTGTTAATATTCACTGGACTTCCGCTCACTATTTATACTATGTATGTCAGTGATCAGGCACGTGACCAGGCTCAGAGTTGAGGACCTGGCGTCTCAGATTTTGTCAGCCAACCTTTGTGCCTCTCGAAGAGGTTCTGGATTAAGTCAAGTTTAGTGGCTGTTTTTGTGAATGTACTAGACTTTGTTTCTTTTGAATTACGGGCAAGATTTCTGATAATATGTTCATGGAGTGATGTGTAAATACTGTATCTTTTGACGCCACTCGCAAGTTTATAAAAGTTTTAAATATCTGTCCTATGTATGTTTTCACAGCTCAATGGACTATATATATTTTGTATATTTGCTTTCGCAGCCCCTAACTATATGTTATTTTGTTCAGAGGCTTTTAGTAATCCAAGGATTACTAGCCGGTTATGATGCTAAACCTATAGGGGCGGGTATGGGTTGTGACAAATAGATTCATAAAAGATATGTATATATATATATTAACAATAATTACAAAAGTTAAAATTTAGTTACAACTAAAGTTCCTTAATATTACATTCCCAAAAGATAAAATATCACAGATAGACTTTTAAACAAAATAACTTCTAACTTCATCTAGAATAACCAATAGTCTTCAAACATTTCTGGTTCTTTGTCGTCTATGTAGGTTTCTTCGGTACCTGGTGTAGATATCCCATTTTGATTGACCCTAAGACTTCGAGTGCTTGCAAGCCTACCGATGATGAAATGGTACCTACTTTATCTTTAGAATGTTTAAGGGTGATTAGAGTTGTTGTATAAACCCATTTTGGCCAAAAATCAGCTTTTTACAAATGACCATTTTGCCCCCAGACTCATTTTTAGCCAAAAACCAACTTCTTAATTTCAGAAAGCCCGATTGTGCTTTGGTTGATCATATTTCCAAAATTAGTGACCCATTTTTATCAAAAACTTCAATTAGAATGCAATTCGGGCTTCTTGTGCCGTAAGAAAGCTAAGGGCATAGGACCCCGTACTTGTGCATGCATGCATGCACGTGCATACGCTAGATATGAGTGTGCTCGTTGTTTGTACGTGCACGTAATTGTTGCACGTGCACACTTAGTTTGTATGTGCACACAATGAAGCATCGTAGAGTTATTTTTGGAAACTTAATTTTGGTTGGAACGGAGGAGGAGGAAGTGATGAAACCCTAAAGGGGTTCTAAAAGCTTCCCCTAGCTCTATAAATAGATCTCTTCCCTCTCTCTTTGAAGGGGTTAAGGAATTGAAGTAGTTTTTTTAAAGCTTTTGAAAACCAAACACCCTCTTCTCCTCTCCCTTTGCCTTAGCTCTGAAAATACCTTACCCATAACAACTCTAGACCTCTGAAAACTTCTAAGGACTGAAGATCATCAACCCTAACTCAGATTCCAAGCTAGAGGGAGGCTTGCAAGCAAAGAACTTGGCTTGCTTTGCTTTGTTTTTCGCAATTTCTTTGGTTTATATAAACCAGCAGGTAAAGCTCTCTTATTTTCTATATTTCAGTACCTTTTATTTTCTTATTTCAGTATTCAAAGCATGTTAGGGTATTAGTTCTGTCACGATCCAAACCTGCCCTTATAGGTTTAGGTCATGATCGATCAGTAATCCTGGATTACCTTCGGTCTCAATGACAAATTCAATCATAATATAAGAATGGGGCTTAGCGGAAGTAATAAATAAATATAACTAAATCCATTGAGCAATGCATATATGTCAAATTCATCATTATTTAAAAACTTTAAACTTCATTCAAACTTAAATACAATACACCAAAGTTGGACTTGTCATATAACATCACCCATAACAAGTTCCAAAATATCAAAAGAAACAAAAGAGTATATAGGTTTACAAACCTTGACTCCTCTTGAGTCCAAGCATGCCCCATCACGGAGGCACTTCAAAATGGCTTCACAAGGGTAGACTCCGAGGTTGCCTTAAACTTGACGTCCCGTTTTATTACCAACATATATATATATATATATACATATAAGGGAGAGGGGTGAGCTAAAACCCAATGAGTAATATCAATATGAAGGTTTTATATGAATGAAGTCCAGTATGTTACAAAACATATCTTTCATTTTCGAAACAATTCATGTCAATAAGAAAAACCATTAGAATAAATAATCATATCAATCATTTGCAATAACAATAATCATTCAAATCAATATACGTAGTACATCTAATAGAGTAACAATGAAACGATGTGCTGAAGCTATTAAGACCACAAGGGTCAATCCAGTGGGACCACAACGGTCAATTTATAATTCATAATTCAGTGTAGACCATTAAGGTTTAACATTAGAGATCTCTGTGTTTTAGTTAATCTAAGGGGTCATGGTATTGCTTTCCCCAGGCAAGGGTCTATTAATCAATGGGTCATGGTATTGTTTTTCTCAGGCAAGGGCCTCACTAATAGATGCCACAATTACAATTCAAAAGGGACATTCATTCATAGATAACAAAATTGAATTCAAAATACCAATTTTGAACAATCTCAAAATACATTTCGAACAAAGCTTTATAAAGACATTACTCATAGTGGGTTATATCGATGTTAGGCCTCGGGTAGCCACCTATACAATACGCATAACAATGTACACATTGAAATACAACTCTTAATCAAATGTTCGATCTTAATTCAATCCTCTTTAATGTGTTTCTAATTCATTTCCTCATAGGGTTTTCCAAAATTTTCTGGGTTCTCTGGGCAGAAAACCGCTCGAGCGAGAGAGCGGATTTT